CCACTTGTATCTTGCTGCACTTAAATATCCTAATGTTTTGTAAAATTACATGTTTGTACCTTTTGTCCTGTTACCTAAACGCAGTAATACTCTTTGTATTTTTTCTATATGAGTGTCATGGTAGAATTTTAGACAATTTGCCTATTAATATATTATTATACATTAGTAATAATTAATATGATGTAGAGTTTTACAATAACATTAAAAGTTTTAGGGACCAAGTTAGACAAACTTGGAGTGGCATATAAATAATTAATTAACAATACAAATTAATTTAGTGTAGTTAGGATTAGAATGTGAAGTCAAAAAAGATTAGGGGTAATATAGTCCATAGAAAGTTTTTGTAATTTTCCTATATGAGTGTTAGGGTACAATTTTAGAATAATTCTATGTTTTCTACTCTTTCCATAAATAATTTATTAACATGCAATTTGCCTATTAATATATTATTATAAATTAGTGATAATTAATATGATGTAGAGTTTTACAATAAAATTAGAAGTTTTAGGGACCAAGCTAGACAAACTTGGATTGGCATATAATATAATTAATTAACAATAATAATTAATTTAGTTTAATTAGAATTAGACTGTAATATAAAAAATAGGGGTAATATAGTCCTAGAAAGTTTTTCCACAACTCACTCTTTTAAAGGGGGTATGATCTATCTAATGTACTAAAACAAGGCCCTAAGTTGCCACCTTAAAACTTCTAAGAGCTTTGTCTACTTATATTCTAAATATTAATTTTAATTATTACTAATTTAATAAATATTTTTTTGATCTCTTCACCTAAAAAAATGTCCTCTAGTATCATTCAGCTTCTCTGTGTATGTTCTAAAAAATCGCTTAATTGCTAGATTTGCCTCTTTGTCTTTTATGTATTATAATTATATTTAATAATTTAATAATTAACTTTTTTATCCCTTCGTCTAAAAAAGGCCCTCAAATATCATTCTATCTCTCTGTGTATGTTACAAAAAATACCCTCTAATATCATTCCTTAAAAAATGCCCTCTAATATCATTCTAAGAGCTTTGCTTATTTATCTTCTAAATATTAATTATAATAATTAATAACTTAATAATTAATCCTTTTCAATCTCTTCACCTAAAAAAAAATCCTTTAATATCATTCAAGGTTTCTGTGTGTGCTCCAAAAAAGCTTTATTGCCTGAAAATGTTGTCTAATATCATTCTAGTTCTCTATGTTAGTTCTAAGAAACGCTTCATTCCTCTTCCATCAATTAAATACTCACTGACATTAGTATTTATCCTTAATTATATTTTCTTTTCGTGCATTTCTCTCAACATTTCTTGTTTTGCATTTAATAAAAACTTTAATGTTAAAAAAAAAATGCTCCCCTCTCTCCCTCCCTCCCACAACACCCGATCCCTCTTAACTCGATGCTGAGCACAGAGGAAGAGAAGTGGGATCTCTGAACCGATGTAATTGAATAAAATGGTATTTTCTCTCTACATTAATGCTTTTTCCCCCATGTAGTACTTGGTTGTACCAATTTTTGCTTATAAGTATTTTTCCAATTAAGCATTAAATAATGTTAGAGGCACACTACCCACCACAACCCCAATCACACTCCCCCCCTCATTGCTACAGTAAACCGGGCCCCACATGGGATTTTAAATTTTTTAAAATTTTTAAAATCCTATGTAGGGTCCGGTTTACTGTAGCAATGAGAGAGGGGAGTGTGGTTAGGGTTGTGGTGGGGGGGGTGCCCCTAACACCACTCTTAAGCAATTATGATTCCCTCTCTCTCTCCCCCCCCGCCCCCCAATGTAGTAATTTGTTGTACCAATTTTTGCTTATAAGTAATTTTCCAATTCAACATTATGATTCTCATTCTCTCTCTCACGCACACCCCATGTAGTATTTGGTTGTACCAATTTTTGCTTCCCTCTCTCTCTCTCTCTCTTTCTCTCTCTCACCATGTAGTATTCGGTTGTACCAAATTTTGCTTATAAGTATTTTTCCAATTCAACATTATTATTCTCTTTCTCTCTCTCTCTCTCTCTCTCTCTCTAGCACAGTTGTATGTTCCATAGCCTTTGAAATGTCAAAAATATAAACACATAAACCGGTGCATACTGAGGATGTCACCTAATTACATTATCTTTTGCTATATTATGTCTTAAATTTAGTTCCTCTAACCATTAGACCAAAACTCCAAAGTTATGGTGAGGATCAATGAATATATTTTTATATTAATCCTAACATGCCCCCGCAGGTCGAGCGCCCTTTTTTTATGGGTCGAAACATGGACTCACGTAGCGGTGTTAATTTTTAGAAAATCCGTATTTAATTTGTGACCGGTGGGATTTGAACCTGGGTTGCTCTGATACCATTTTAAATTTAGTTCCTCTAGCCATTACACCAAAACTCCGAAGTTATGGGGAGGATGAAGGATTATAGTTTTATATTAATTCTAACATTATAGACTTTTAAAAGTGCGCTGCTATTTTGGGTGATTGTCGAAGTTTTCTGTGTCAACAGAAAACTGGACAATATACGTAACTTTAATAGATCTGTTTAGAAAATATCACAAGCTAAATATATTATAGATCAATGTTATAACAGTTGTTAGCCCAAAATTCATGATAAATGGTCTAATTTCATTAGACCGATATTTTTTTATAATCGAGCAATTTATGAAAAAAAATTTAGTGTCAATTGATGGAAAAAAAGTGTTGTTGTTATTTATTTTTTAATAAGTCATTATCTTTATAATTAAATTATTTTATCTTCTATATACCAAAAAAATTGTTTATCTTCTTCTAATATATAACAAAAAAGATTCCCACAGCATGGCGTGGGTATGACACTAATAGATTCATAAAGGCAATAAACTTTACGAAGCAGGATTCATGTGGCTAGTTTTTCGACAGGTATGATTATATACTGACTTTGATCAAAATGTAATTATACGTGTATATTGTGAGATAATTCCTATTTATTCGATGCATATTGTGAGATCACAATGGGACTGTTCTACTGAGACCTTATCTCTGTAGCTGTGGAGTGAGCTAATATTTATTAATCAGATCGTATTCACTTTAAAACTTTGAACTTTCCTTGGCCACATGCTTGATTTTGAAATATTTGTCGTCTAACGCGTGGCGAGGCCCAAATCGAAATCATTCAGGCTTTTGCATGAGCTAGGTTCAATGAGTTAGGCTAGTTTTTTTTTTTTTTTGAAAATAAAGTGAAGGCCCATTTTTGCATTGGTTCCGGTTAGGGCTCTACAATCGGTCGGACGGTTCGGTTTTTAGTCAAATTTGGTCAAACAGAACCAAACCGCTTATCATTTAAAACCGAAGCAAACCGATTCAAGTCGGGTAGGTTTGTTCGGTTTTTACTTAGGTACAAATGTTATGTACAAGTTCAATTTTACTTCTAATCTTTTGACGAAGAAAAAAGACTTTTACACTTTAATTTATTAAAATTCATAAATTATAAAATGCTATTGAATATTAGATGTAGAAATCAAAATCTTATTCCTACCAAAGATTACATAAATTTTTTAGAAAAAATTTACATAAATAATCAAAGTGATCTTAATCTGACAGACAAAGTAAATAAAAAATATGTAATAACTTGGATGCTGGGTATAGTTTCTATAAAATTATAAATCTGATTCAAAGGGAAGTCTGATCCAAAATCTATCAATCAAGGAGAAAAATCAGGAAAAATGTTAGAATCAACATTATGGTTTAAGTTTTTTACCTCCAAAGTGGATTGGTCCAAAGTAGAAAAGCGAATATGTAATAGAGAGGGATATAAAACTAGAGATAATGAAAAGCCCTAGAATTGGAGATGACGCTATTGTTGAGGTATTTTATCGCTATCAGGTCGCGTGAGAGAAAAATATATCAACTTGCAGAGAAGTAACTTTATATGAACTATAATGGGTCGGGTTTAAGCACATGTAAATAGTAATTAGAATCGGTAATACAATTCAGTAGGTTCGGGTTGAAAAAACTTCAACCCGAACCAAACCGAACTCTAATAAAAATTGAATCGAACCGTTAAATTTCGACCGGTTCGATCGGTTTGTTCGGTTTGAACCGAACTATGCACTTCCAGTCCCAAGCCAGTACTCTTTGAAAATAAAACAACAGCCGAAATAAAAGAAGAAGAAAAAAATTATGAAAAATCCCTTCAAGTTCTTTTAGATCAGATAATTAAGATCTTAACTATAATTATCTAGGTTAAGTATGTATTAAAAATTATATTTCGTTCCCATTTAGGTCCTGTCTAAAATTGCTACAGCCCCCATCTCTCGGGCTCATGGTACAGCCTTGATTAATTTACCCGAGCGGCCCAATCCCTTAAACCGGAGGCCTATATTCAATTCTAGATCCATATACCCATGATAACTGCAAACCCGACCCGGTTAGGGAGAGGAATGCTACCTCTTTGCTGTTTGCTGTTCAAGTATAAACAGCAAGTCTTCAAGTTCACTTGCTCTCTCTCGGGCCCACGTGTCGGATGTTTCCATGACAGCCAGTTCTTTTTTCATAATACCCTAATTGTATACGACCATCCAATCTACCGTTAAATATAAAATCTTACAAAATTAACGGTGGATGTTATTTCGTGTGTACAGTTCCTCGCATTAGTGAATCCAGTAGTTTATTCGGCCGTACGTGGGTCCCACATTCATAGAGTGGGTGTATCAGTGGGTGCGGCAGTTGTTAATTTCTTTTTTTCCCTCTCGTACTATCAGTTTATTTTATTTTATTCACACTCTCTCGTTTAACTTCTCAAAATCTCCCAGTTTGTTGTTCGTTTCTTTTTCTCTCCTCGAATTCTTATCATATTGAAGCAGAATATTCAATAATTCACCGTAATTCCCTCCGAATTTTCTCGTCTGAGTTCGATCTCAAGGGCAGCAGAAGAGAGAGATGAGGATCCGCTCGAGTCGCAGCAGAAATTGTTCCTAAGTTGGTAAGCAAACAGTGAAAAATCCCACCTTTATTCCATCAAAATCAGCAGCTAGGGATGTTCTGGTTGAAAAAGACGGTATCTTTCCATTAATTTCTCTTCATTCCATCCATTCTCGTTGTCGCGCTCCTGATTCTAGAGCTTTGATTGGGGAAAGTTGGGGGTTTCAGTGAACATGGTAGCTTTGTTGAAAATTTCAATTTATTGGGCTTAGGATCGAGATGCGAATGTTGTGAGCTGGGGTTTGATTCTGAGGCCTGATCTTGTTCGATTACGGCTGTGGCAATTTCTTACCACTTTGCATGTGAGATATTTGTGGAATTTATTGAAAATTTTACCCTAGGGCAGTTTGGAGTTATTAGGAACATGTTAATTTCTTAATATTTTCATCACATCACTGGTCTTTGTTGTGTGTTGTCTGTATCTGAAGCTCTCTTTATTTGATCACATTCAGAATGTGAAGTTCTAGAATAGGTTTTGCTGCAAGATTGATTTTCCCCCTCTTTTCTGTTTCTCCCTGTGTTGGTCTTTTAATTCTTCGATGTTCTGAGATTGGTCATTCAAATCATTGAAACTGCTTCTCCAATTGTTATATCTACTTGGTGCTACTCTTGATTGGAGAGGCTGATTTGGAACAAAATAAGAATTAGATTGCCTGCAAGCAATTTTAATCATTTGAGGGACTAACTATGAAACAAATTATATTAATTGGAAGACTTAATAACAGTTAGGATGCTTTGAGGGGCTAATTTTTAAATAATTTAGATTTAAGGGACCAGTATAAAAACCCGATTTTTATAAATTTTTTGGGGTCATTTACCTTATACATTCTGTCTGGTAAGTACTGGTTCTTGTCTTTAGTGTAGTCTTGAAGTTATTTGGATTTCCCTCCGGAGTTGGGGCTTGATATGGAAGACAATCGCTCAAAAGCTGTGGTCAATGCTCATAGTGAATCTGAAGAAGAGGAAGAGGTGTCAGAGGCTGAAGCTAAAGGACTGGAACTAGACCTTGCATTGGGGAGAAGCCCGTGTGCTCCAGGATCATCTTCAACTGCTGCCCAGAGAATTCAGGGATCACTGTTTCCGTTTGAACTGGCTGTTGGAAGCTTTAATCTAGTTCGGGATGTCCCTCCGACTGGCAAACAGGGAAAGGACTTAAGAATAGGTTTGGAAAGGGATAGAGATTATAAGAGGCTGAAGCTTTTTCGCTTGACTGGGTGAGTTTCTCGCTTCTTAGTTTTTAACTAATGAAGCTATATATTCTTATATATATATGAGAAAAATGGGTATGGTTGGTACCAAGCACAATTTTTTGTGCTTGGTAGTGTGGTGTCCTATTCCCATCAACTCATTCCAATTCCCAATCATTCCCCAACCCATGTGAATGTGGGTCCCAATTTCAATGAGTGGAGTGGAATATGCCACCTCACTACCAAGCACAAAAACATGTACTTGGTACCAAGCATACCCATCTCTCTCTCTCTCTCTCTATATATATAATATATATATATATATAGAGAGAGAGAGAGAGAGAGAGAGAGAGAGAGAGAGAGAGAGAGATGAGTATGCTTGGTACCAAACACAAATTTTGTGCTTAGTAGTGAGGTGCCCTATTCCTATCCACTCATTCCAATTTCCAACCACTCCCAAACACATGTGAATGTGGACCCGGATTTCAATTAGTGGAGGGGAATATGCCACCTCACTACCAAACACAAAAACTTGTGCTTGGTACCAAGCATACCCATTTCTCTCTCTCTCTCTACATATATATATTTGCATCTTAAGTTTTTTATCCCTAATATTTTATATATTACGACCGCACACATCTATGATACATATTACAAATACTGTTAGATAGCGTCTGGGGTGATTCAAGTACATTTTTTGGCTTGTATTAATTTGGTTATGGTTTATTTGAAATTCTGGTTTATGATGTAGTCGCTTTTAGCTTATACTAGCTTTAAAATTTGTCAATGGGCCTATGTTTTGAACTTATAATATATTTAAGGTATGTAAGAATAGTCAGGTGACATTTGTTTGATAAGATGGGCATTATATGTCATGAGCTTAATAACAGGGAAAAATGAAAGGTTTAGAAGACTAATTAGTATTAGTGATCAATTGCACAAATTCTCATCTTATGTTCCTGAACCCTGAATAGTTGAGAATCTCTCTCAAAAAGTTAAATCCTGGACCTGTACCATCTGCAGCCCTCCCATTCAAATCTTATCTGCCATGCCTCCCCTTCCCCTTGTCATATACACCCTATTCATTCACATCAAACCATTCTTTTAATTATCCCAGACTAGCCTGATGTATCGCTCGGTATATCCTTTTATAGGGCTTACCGCAACTAATATGGCCTCTAAATATCCTTTACCACTTTTGGCTACTTTGGGAAATATATCCCTGATATGGCCGATATATCAGCTAATATAACCTTTTATATTGCTTGTTGCAAAACTATCTACTGCGATTGGCAATTTTTGGGCGAGATATCATGATTTTTCCATTATGTCAAATGTCATTTTGGCATAAAAAATCAGACAAAATGTTACAAAGTTGATTTGTACTTTTGTTTGTCTTACAAGGTTGATTAGTGATTTTAAACATATATTATTTACATTTTGTATGCTTCGATTTCATTAAGTATGTTGAGATTACATTTTAGCGCATTATACTATATATGCAAACATCCATGACATTCTGATATTAACCACATATCCCTGGTATTTGCCCGATATCCACAATCCGATACTAAATTTGGCCACATCCGATATTTCCCCGATATCCGATATTTAAAGCCTTGCATCGAACTTGAAAAAAACATTCTCACAGACACTCATAACGAGCTACTTTTGCCCTTTAGATATGTTATCTAACTTAACTCTTTTAATACATTATGGTTTGAAGAAAGGACTAACCTATTACAAAATTCTCCAAGAGATCTCTGATTATGGTCCTAAGGAACTAAAAAAGAAGTATTTTCCTGCGTGAGTTTGTATCAGTACAAGATTTCTGAAATCTTTTAATATTTTCCTCATTTGAGTTTTGCTACCATTGCTGCTAATATTGGCAGTGAGGTAGTGGTTTTTGTCCATCCACTTTGACAGTCTGTTGCTGGTTGAGACTGCCTTTGCTTAGCTAATGAAAAAACTTTCATCTTCTCTGCTTCGCATGTTAAATGATGATGGCGATCAAGGCTACCTTCTCTTTTTTCTGGGAACTTGATTATGATTGATTGGAGAGTGTAAGTGGATCAAGGCTACCTTCTCTTTTTTCTGGGAACTTGATTATGATTGATTGGAGAGTGTAAGTGCGAGTCTGGAAACAGTATGTTGAAGCTGTAGAAAAAGGCTGAAAAGGCTGCATGTGTTTGTGGAACAATCATCCAGTTGGTGTTACTTCAGTAACTTGTTTTTGGTTTTATGGGCCGATAATGATATAAAATCTTAGGACAAGAAGGTTTCATAGCTAGATGAACCAAACTGGGACTGGTCCTTAGTCCACTAACATTACTGTTTATTTGGTGTTAGATTTGGGGATAAGAAAGTTATGTTGAAAATGTATAGCCAGTAATCTCTTTTCCTTTGTCACTTGAAGCCTATAGAGTTTTGTTCAGTAACAGAGTCTTTGTGTAAAAAAATATGTTGAGAAAGGGCAGATGGATTGAACCTTTCAACGATGCAGTGCTTTCTTCTCCAAGAAAACCAGGTTGGTTAGTTAGAATGGTTGATATATTATTAGTTACAAAGATGATTGGTCTACATGACTGATCAGCTTAATAGCAAATTTCTTTGCTTACTTAGAAGATTATTTCAATTATCACATTTCCTGCGAATCTTGAATCTTTTAATGCAAGTAATTTTGAATGATATACTTTGATGCTTGATGCACACCTCTACATCGTCAAGGCTGTATCCTCCATCTAGTGCCATAATAATCCAGGTGACTGCATTCATTTTTATACTTGAGTGGTCCTAATTTTTAAAACCTTTTTATCCAGGATAACGGAACACTGTTCCTCAGATAATGAAGCATCTGCTCCACTTGTTTCTTGGGATCTCAATTGTCCTCAAGCTTCATTAATCCCATCTGATACTATAAGCAGTGGTAAAAGTAGAGATCAGGCTGCTGCTGGTAGCGAACTGTCAATGAACTCCAATGATGGTGGAGTTGATGATGGGAAAAAGCCTAATGCCAGCAATGCAGAAGATATAGAGATCAGAATGGATCTTACTGAAGATCTGTTACACCTTGTAAGATTATTTTATTTTTGTCGCTGCTTGCTGCTTGCTTTTAGTCACATTGACCTTCTTTGCCCTATTATATGTGTCTGCAGGTTTTCTCCTTTTTGAGCCAAAAAGATTTATGTAAAGCCGGTGCAACCTGCAAGCAGTGGCAAGTAGCTAGTATGCATGAGGATTTCTGGAGATGCTTAAATTTTGAGGATACAGAAATCTCCGAGCATAATTGTATGCTATCTGTTCTCTTTTTTGTGGGACCTGTACAATTGTTGATGCAATAGCCGTAGCATATGATCTTAAGCTTTAGGAGATGACAATTTCCCGTGTAATTTATAACGCATTCGCCTATAGTTCCATATGTAATTATTTATGTTGCTTGAGTACTATTTCTATGTTATCCGTTGAAGAAAGTTTTAAGATTGTTGTTTCTAGACTTTTATTATAACATAAAATGAGGTAATATGAGAGAGAATCGTTTGAGATTGTTTGGTCATGTGCAACAGAGGCCATTAGATGCACCAATTAGGACAAAGGACTAGGGATAGGCCTAAGAGAGCTTGGTTAGAAGCTAGATATGATAATGATTAACTTAGTAAAGGAGATAGCCTTCGGGCCCCTGAGTGGAAGAGTAGGATTGATGTATCTTACCCTCAAAATTTTGTGATAAAGGCTTTGTTGTTGTTGTTGTTTGCAAAAATATCATAACTGTGGTGAAGAGTTTTACTAGATTGTTTATCATATTAAGCAGAATATTTGCTGGTTTATTTGGATTAGCATGTACCTGCAATTGTTATGCAAACTAATAAGCAATGATGCAGTGATAAACACTTTGGTACCTTATACCGCAAAAGGATTATGCACTGGAATACTTGATATATGAACATGTAGAAAGGACAGAATTATACTATTGACAACAGAAGATTCTATTCGGTTTTTAAATAAGAAATGAGTGCTTTCATAGAGGTTGCTCCTATTGAGGATAAAATGAGTGAGAACTAAATAATCAGATTGAGATGGTTTGATCATCTTGATGGAAGCCACTGACTGCACTAATTAGGAGAAGTTATAAGATCGTAGTGAATCAGGGAAAACTGGAAGTAGACCTAAGGAAACTTTGTTGGAAGCAACTATGAAGGATATGAGAGGGGTTAACTTAATGGAACTAAATCGAGAATAGGATTCATGTAGGTTTCTTTTGTTATATCAACCGGCTAACAATATCTTACTGTATGTGTTGGTATTAAAGTTTCCAAGTCATCCTTTTGAACTACCTGTTTAGAATTTATTGCTTACTACTTTTATGGGTTTTTATGATTGTCCTAATTTGTTTACTTCTTGATTGCCTATACAGTTGAGTCTATTTGTCAGCGTTACCCAAGTGCCAATAGAGTGAATTTATCTGGTGTTTATAACTCCGATGTGCTTGCTACAGAGGCCATAACTTCTCTTAGGTTTCCAAGCTCACTTTTCTGCATTCATTTGCTCTTTGAACAATCTAATTTCTTTGCTATGAGCTCTCTTATATGTTGTATTGTATTTTAGGCGTCTTGAAACTCTAGTTTTGGGGAACGGGCAGCTTGGAGATGGTTTCTTCCATGCTTTAACAGACTGTCCTGCATTGAATAGCTTGACTATATGTGATGCATCACTTGGTAATGGCATTCAAGATATCGCCATAAACCATGACATACTACGAGAGCTTAATATTGTCAAGTGTCGTGTTCTCCGCATTTCTGTCAGGTGGGAGACCTCCTTGTTGGGCATAAATCATTTTCTTTGTAACTTAATACATAATGACCAACTTTGATGCTTTTTTACAGATGTTCTCAACTTCAGACTTTGTCACTGAGGCGCAGCAGCATGGCTCATCTTGTGCTTACTTGTCCTCAACTGCATGAATTAGATTTGTCTTCTTGCCACAAGTTATCTGATGCTGGAATCCGTGCAGCAGCTATAACTTGCTCGTTACTCGCATCATTAGATTTGTCATCTTGTTCATGTGTGAGTGACGAGACTTTGCGCGAAATAGCTTTTGCATGTCCTAGTCTCTCTCTTCTTGATGCATCGTATTGTCCCAACATCTCTCTTGAGGTTAGTTCTTGTAGGTTCCTGTCTATGTTTTCACCTTCTTTCCGTATTCTGTGTAATCAAATTTACATGGTTATATGCTGTTTGTGATAGTCTGTAAGACTGCCGATGTTGATGGATTTGAAACTTCATAGCTGTGAGGGTATCACTTCAGCTTCAATGTCTGCAGTTTCTTATAGCCGTATGCTAGAGGTTAGAACTTTTTCTTGTTCTATAAATTGGATGCTTTTCTTTGTGGCAGCTGTAGCTAAATTATAATCTACTGTCCTTTTGTTATGCCCTCAGTCATTGCAGCTCGATAACTGCGGACTGTTAACATCTGTCATTTTGGATTTGCCCCATCTGCGGAGCATCAGTCTTGTACATTGTCGCAAGTAAGTCTGTTCCTTTAAAGCTCCTCATCTTCCACTGAAAGAAGCGTAAAGTATGCTAAGTACCAATTCCCTATATCCAGGTTTGTAGATTTGAATTTGCGGTGCCCTGTTCTTTCTTACATCAAGGTTTCAAATTGTTCAGCACTTCTCCGCATCAATATCACATCGCATGCACTTCAGGTCAGCTTAGTCAGTTGAATGTTCATTTTAGTGCATTATTTTTTGTTACTTAAAAATTAGCACAACAACTGTCTATTCTTTTTTTGTGCAGAAACTTATACTGCAAAAGCAAGAAAGGCTATCCACTCTGTCATTGCAATGCCACAACTTGAGAGAAGTGGATCTTAGTGATTGTGAATCTCTAACCAATGCTATCTGTGAAGTTTTTAGTAATGGTGGAGGTTGCCCAATGCTTAGGTCATTGGCCCTTGACAACTGCGAGGTTTGCTTATTTTATATTCTTTAAGTGCTAATCTTTTAAATGTACATGTTAGATATATGCTTCTTTTGGTGCTAATCTTACAAATATACATATATAACTAGATAGTGTCTGTATGTGCTAAATTTTCGACTATATACATAATTATTTAGGGTTCACATAGATGTATATTGTGACTCTGCCAGATGTTGGACAGCTGAATAATGCTTGCCACAATGTGTTGTTGCTTCCTCCACCTCCCTTGCCATGATGGTTCGGCTGCTTTTCCTCTCCCACCTTAGGATTACTCCCTTGCTACATACCAGTCTATCTCAGCTTTATTGCCTCCAGCCTTTTGGCGGCAAACTGCTGTCAGAACTTGCTTCAACATCTGGACCCTAGTTAGATTGGAACTGTACTTAGATTGAGGTTTTGTCATCCCTATCGTAACTATTTTATTTGAGTCCAGGGCATTCTGTCCAAGGTCAGCACTGAGTGATAACCCCCTAAGTTGTCTCTTCAGAAAACATGAAACCACATGCTGCAAACTAGTGTAATCACGTCACCATAATGGATGTACATCAAGCTAAGAAAATTCAAGTATAACATTTCTACACTTTATAATGGTCATGACTCATGCAGTTTACTTTTGAAGCTTGCTCCGTTACCTTCTATGGGAATAACATGAAAAAGTGTATTTAAGTGTACCTTATTGTAGCCTTTTCTAGATAAATTGGCAACTTTTCCCGGTAATTAATCAGGTTTTTTTAATACTGTATTTGCTCAATTTGTTTGAGATGTTACATAAGCAATATTATATTTTCAAATTTGTCAGTTATATAGAACACATAGCTAATGATTTTCGTGTTTCTTGCTATAACATTGTCGTACTTGCTTATGTGAATGTCTTCTGAAATCTGGTGTCTGGTCATGACCTTTTGAGATCACAGTACTTGTTGAGATGCTCTAGTATATGCTTAGCTAACATCACACTGTTCAGAGGTTTTTTGTATTCTCAGTGAAAACAAACTTATGCAATAAGACTTCCTAGAGCTCAGTTGTCGATTAAGATGGATGTTACTAGCATTATATAATCTCTGTGCTTTGCTGGTTTCTTAGCATGACGATGCCGTGATATAATGATGCTGTATGCTTTTATCTGCATTGGTATCTTTTCCTGAAGCTTTCGGTGAAAGCTGAATGTGTTTTTTCGTTTCTTTTTCAACAGAGGTTAACTGCAGTTGGATTACGCAATAGTTCTCTGGTTAGTCTCTCTCTTGTTGGTTGCCATGCTATGACTGTCCTTGATCTGTCATGTCCTGGTCTTCTAACAGTAAACCTTGATGGGTGTGACCATCTAGAGAAAGCTTCATTTTGTCCTGTAAGTAAATCGAGCTGCGGTTTGTTGATTTTACGCGAGTTAAAATCCCATTACGTTCATACTTATCCAGCTTATTGAATTTCAGAAAATTTGAAAATAATTGTTACATTTTTTGTTTTTAAATTCTACCTTTTGATATGGTTAAGCTTGTTTCAGTAAATTGACTTTACACTGTATTACTTTTCTTGACAGTTTACATTGTACTGCTATCTTATTGCATTTAAGAACATGCATTCTCCACTTGTTGCTGTTAAACTAAACCTTCCTTTGCCTTCCGGGTGGTTTGTTGGGAAAATGTTCTGGGTGGTTAAGTGCAAAACCCACAAAGTTCGGAGCTGGTTTTGTAAAATTAACCCATATAGTATCTACCATTTTGCATAATTTTGCAGGCTACCAGTGCCTTTCTAACATTGCTTTTTTTGTGACTTATTGCAAGTTGCCTTAAGATTATTTGTAAACTGTATTGTATGATGTAGCCTATCTGCTGTGATCAAATATGTATTGTTTTTCTTTTGTTTTAAAATTCAAATCTCTATTATATTGTTTTGACTTTGACTATAGTTTGCTCGTATCATTTTCCTGTAGGTTGGTCTCGAGTCCCTTAATTTAGGAATATGTCCGAAGCTAAGTGTATTACAGATTGAAGCACCAAAAATGTCAGTTTTGGAGCTTAAGGGTTGTGGTGTATTGGCTCGAGCATCAATAAGCTGCCCTTCTTTGGTGGCGTTGGATGCTTCTTTCTGCAGGTGATATTTCTTGCAATGTTATCTTAATGGGCATCTAATATCGCTCCCCCCATGTCATCAATGTTATAGGTTCTCAGAAAATGAAATTCTATTTTTTGGTGGACCTATTTCCAAATATTAATGATTCGAGAGACCGATATGAGAAATGCCCTACATTAATTTCTCTCTTTAGCATGTAGGCTAATAGTTTCCTTTTGTTGGTTGTGCAGACAGCTTTTGGATGATTCTTTGGCTATGACATCAGCTTCTTGTCCTATGATCGAATCTCTAGTATTATCCTCTTGCTTATCCATAGGAGTTGATGGGCTTTCTTCGTTGCATTCGCTGCAATATTTGACACTACTTGATTTGTCGTACACATTTTTGACTAATTTGCAGCCCATTTTTGACACTTGCTCACAGTTAGTGGTGAGTAGATTAGATTTTAACCTGGCGGATTCATTACATGCTATATTTTTTGTGTTTGGAGTTTTTATTCGTTCCTGGAGAGTAGGGTTGCTTGGAGTTGCATCGAGTAGTCACTAGTCACCCCTGTTTGATCCATTACTGTCTTTGTTAATTATGGTATATGCCTATTAAATTTTGTTATTCATAGATCAGTTATGTATTTCAAATCTTTCGATAATATTGCTAGTATTATTTATTTATTATTATTATTTTATGTTATTCTTTGTTGTGTTTGCACTGTAGCCAGGCATGTGCCCTACGCCCTGCACACAATTAGTTGCATACTGAACCTTGTTTTTAGGTCCTTAAACCAGTGATTTTTTTAATGATCTTTTCTATATACTTGGGTAGATCAAAGTGTGCTTTTGCATCTATTGCTTAGGTTGGGTCTGTGCCTAATGGCTGGCTCTCCTTAGTACCAAACACTTAATGGGGGAATCGGGGAGTCTTTGCAAGAATGGTCTAAGTAAATGACCTTGTTTTACGTCTTTTTAACTCTGAGCTCAATATCAGCTTTGACTATGCTCTCCCTTCTGATCTTTCTATCCCAATTTTGTAAAGCAATGTGTGTTTTTTCCATCTCTTGCTTATCTTCAGTATGTAACTTAATTTTGGTCTCTTCTTAGTACCGAATGCTAAAGGCTGAGAGTCTTTGTCCCCCCACCACAACCTTAAAAAAAAATAAAAAAATAAAAATAAAAATAAAAGAAGCCAAGTCCAACCTCTTTTTCACTGCTAACCTCATTGTATGTAGTTTTATGAAATCATGATTGTCAAATTGCTAGCTGTTCCTTTCTTTGGTCGGGGAGAGAAAAAGGGGATCATTACATGGTCTTGAATCATGTAAAGAGCCATTTAGAAGGAGCCATACTAAAAATGTCAACTTTATCATTTGGTGGAAATATTTTGGCCTCTGCAAGAAGCACGCTAAACCAAATGAGTTTATTTACTTACTACTTGGTTGGGAGCAAAACACAAAAAATGGCCTGGAGGGAATTGCCTCCTACTATTTTTATTTATTTATTTATTTATTTTGCAATGCATATTTTGCTTGTCCTAATCGTAAAAATAGCCTTTTGCGCAACATAAAGCTTCACTTTGTCTCTATCATGCTGTTCTTAGCACTAATGGTAAAACATATTACACTTCGAGAGCATATATTCAGGCCTTATTTTCTATGCTGAGACCTAGTTTATTGCTTTGTTTTATTTAAAGAATCCTCCTTGAATCTTTTGACATGATAGTGTTTTACTGCCCACTGCTATTTGCAGATCTTAAAACTTTCAGCATGCAAGTTCTTAAGTGACTCATCTTTGGATGCACTCTACAAGGAAGGGGCCCTTCCTGCTCTTCGTGAGTTGGATTTGTCGTATTCTTCCATTGGACAGTCTGCAATTTTAGGACTTCTTGCTTCTTGTGGAAATCTTGTCAATGTGAACTTAAATGGTTGTGCAAATATGCATGATCTTGTTTGGGGCTCTAGCAATTGTCATTCCAAAGAGATAATTGCTGATATCTATCCATCAAATTTGGTATCTTTGAGAAGCGAGGATGAGTGTTTTAGGAAGACTGAGCATTTACTAGAGACCCTCAACTGTATTGGATGTCCCAACATTAAGAAGTTTACAGTCACGTCTTCAGCGTGCTGTTTTCATCTATCTAAGTTAAACCTTAACTTGTCTGCTAATCTGAAGGAAGTGGATCTAGCATGCTTCAATCTCAATAGTCTTAATTTGAGGTCAATTTCCTGTTATATCTTTGTTAGTTTGTCATCTGGTTATATCTACATGTCCACTAATAGTTTTTTTTTCTGTTTCCCCCTTTTTTTTGTGTTCAGCCATTGTTGCTCCTTGGAGATCTTGAAGCTTGATTGCCCCAGATTGATGAACCTTCAGCTTCTGGTAATTGCATTTCTGAATTCTGATACTGCAAATATAAACATATTCTTATATTTTAAATTTATCATAAAAATCATTAGCCTCGTGTCAAAGGCAGTTAAATTTGAGTTTGCTAATGGCTAAAGGTTGTCTGCCTTCTCCAAGCCTTTTCTTGCTGTGGGTACTCCAAATAGAGGGTCTAATATTAGTTTTATGATCAACCTTACGTCATCACTGTGCCAAATCTCTTGGCAATCACTGATAGCATTAAACATTAAACTTTACTACATGGACACAGACAAAGCCCATATAGCCTCAATACATGACCCGATGACACGTTTCTGAAAAGTACACACCAAAAAAAGTATCTTACCAAAAAAAGTATCTTCTTCATTAAGTCTTGAAATAGTGAAGGATTCAGTTCGTTATCCACTTTGCACGTTGAAGATATTATCACAGGGCTGATTCTATTGATGCTGATTGTGTTTTCTATCAATACAATGCATGTTTCAAAATGAATATTACATGAATTATTCATATATTGCATATCTTGCCTACATGACCTTCAGGCTTGTACAATGCTATCAGAGGAGGCGTTAGAAGTTGCCATTTCTCGCTGTAACATGTTGGAAGTTATCAATGTTCATTCATGCCCTAAGGTCAGTGTTATTGCAGTTACGATCTTTCAAAATTACACATGTTAACCATATTAAGTTATACCTTTTTGAGTTCTTTTTCTAGAAAAAGAAAAACCATTTAGGTATTACCATCATGATTTTATATAAATTTGAACCAAATACATTTAAGTTCTAGATCGACCCATTTATTGGTGGAAGTTTCAGGCTATGAAGTTGCTTGCAATGTTCATTTAATGTATGATAATTTTGTTTGATAGGAAGCCATCACGCACAAGCTACCAGAAACTTTCATCATTAAGTAGGGGTGGGTGTGGGCCGGGCCGGTTTAGGCCCGTGACTCGACCCGTTGGATTCAAGGCTGGGCCGGGTCCAACCCGGGCCCGCGCCCATGGGTCGTGGGTTGGCTCGTGAGTTTTTTAAACTTTTTTCTATTTTTTTAATTTCTAAACTACATTAACTTTGGATTAGTATTTATTAAATTATATTTAAATTATTTTTTTATTTTACTCTTTATTTAAAATGATATATACACACACACATTATACAAAGATAAACATCACACAGAAAAACATCGCAAACACAAAGGTATATGTGGTTCGAACTTCGAATGAAGACCTACGTTCACGGGAAATTAATAACTTTCCTTTAGTTTAAATTTCGGGTCTGTTCGGGTTGAAAATCGTTTTCTTCATCGCGGGACGCATAACAATTTCAGTCGTTACAATGATTCAAAAGGAAAGACTTTTTATAAGCCTCACACAATGCAAATAAAAAGATTACAATTTTCTCGAGAGCACACGCATATAGATCGTTTATCGATCTTCTGCTTGCACGGGATCTATGTCGGTACCGGGGTTTATCCGTGGACCACCAACTGATCAGATCCGAATGAAGATTACGTTACCTCGCAAAGGAGACAAGGAATTGAAGTGACTTTCTCGGCAACAACGGGACAATCACTCTTCTCGAGAATCGCAGCTAGGTACGATCTCAAGGAAAACGGATGAACGGGATGCAGATTTCTCGAACTCTTATCCTTCTTGTGCTGAAGAACTCGTCAAGATCCCTTCCTCCTTTGAAATTCGTGCTCCTCACTCTTTAATTCAACAGGGCTTCGCCGAGGCTCGAGAATTCCGGATCCCTACAAATAAAGGTCCCAGGGCTGTATTTATAGGCTTCAGAAGCTCGGTTTTTGGATAAGAACGATCGATTTGATCTTATCCTCAGTTTTAACCACTGAACCACGTTCCAGGATAACTTCAGATCAGTAGGGGAGACTTTGGATCAGATTAAATCGAAATCTAGACGAAATCAACATTTTTAGCCCCGAGACAAAGTGTCTCGGCCAAGTTGTGTCTCGGCCATGGCCGAGACACAATACGTGTCTCGGTTGCGTGCCCTGATCTTCTTTTTCCCATAATTCCCCGGCCCGACCTCGGAATGACGCGATTCAAAGTGCGTTGGAAAGCCAGAGAAGAGACATACAATGTCCCATGAGTGAATCATATGTGGAGTGGATGAGATACGAGTGGCGCTTCGTCTTTCGTGAGTGAAACGTAACTACTGATCAGATCGTCTCTTCGTTATTTCGCCCTCCTGTTGATTCGTACGCTTCGTTGACTTGCTCCATGTGCTTGCCGACGTCAAATAATCATCTTTGACTCAGATAATGACGTTCATCGTCTTCTCTGTCTCGAGCTACGTGCGGGAACTTATAGATAATTTTTAACGCCTACAGATACCCCCTCTAAAGTGTTTCAGTCTTATTTCTTTTATAGAAGAGCCTAGAATATTTTGGATATGATAGGTCCAATCTTCAGTCGGTGTAAAAGGACCTGTAATTGGTTTCAGTTCTCGACTTCTTCGATTTTCAATCTATTTCGTATTTTGTCGAATAGCTGAAATTCTTCCAGCGTTGCGTTTATCGTCTGGCCGTTGTCGAAGCCTCGAACTGAAAATGGTGTGTTGTTTTCTGATTTTAGCTCGTGTTGTTAAGTCGACGTTGAACTGATTATCTTTGTCGGGGACTCGTATCTGAATTATGACTGAACTCTTTGGGGATTATCATACAATCTTAAAGAATCAGAATGGGTGTTGACTAATACCGCAGGGCGTATCAACTAAGACCGCTTGTCGTGTTGACACAAGAGGCGTCATCGAGTCGACACAGGGGGTGTCATTTTGTCCGGCCGAGCTTCGTGTTTCGAGTCGACACAGGAAGTGTCGACTCATCTGGTCGGGCATGGACTTGATTTGAGCCTTGTTTCGACGAAATTTGTCAACGCGTTGATTTTCATTGCGACGCGCTGACCTGCGTTGATCTCCATCGTAATGTGTTGACCGGCGTTGACTCAAGGCTACGTGTTGACTGGTGTTGACCTTCATCGTAACGCGTTGATCGATGTTGACCTAAGGCTACGCGTTGACCGGTGTTGATATTCATCGCAACGCGTTGATTGGCGTTGACCTTCATCGCAATGCGTTGGCTGGTGTTGATTTTCATCGCAACGCGTTGATCAGTGTTGACCTAAGGCTACGCGTTGACCGGCGTTGACCTTCATCGCAACACGTTGACTGACGTTGACCTTAACGCAACACGTTGATTGGCGTTGACTTTCATCGCAACGCATTGGTCGGCGTTGACCTAAGGTTACGCGTTGATTGGCGTTGACCTTCATCACAACGCGTTGACCGGTGTAAACACAGTTTATACTCATACGTTAACAGGAGTCTGCACAGTTTAGGTTCTTAAAGCGTTGGAGCGGGGAGGGCTAGTTTATACTCATATACTCTTCGGCTCTCATTTGGCTTGTTTTGTCGTTATGATGCCGGAGTCAATTAAGTTTTGGATTTTGTTTTTGAGATCAAAGCAAATCTTGGTGGGATGAAGAATATTCATGTGGTACGCACAGTAGTTTAGATCCGTAATCCTCTTAACTCCCTCCTGATCTTTAATAAGTGGTAGCTCGATTTTGTCGTTTGCGAAGAGGTACTTCAAGATGGCTGGAACTTCATCATCTTGGAAGGAGTACTTTTTTTGGAGTCTCAGATTTGGAGTCCTTCGCTGTTTTTGAGGTTATTGTTGTAACGTTTGATTAACATCAACAGAAATCACATGCGTTGTAGGTTGGCTTCTCTCGGTCTTTTTCCTTCTGAGAAAGCGCTCGACTTATTCTCCACGCAGTTTTAATTCCTTCTAGGTGGTTGAGGGGATGACCTCCATGACCTCGAGGACATCGAGGGAGAGATTGTGATGATAGGTCTGCAGTATGAACTCTTCTGTGATAGGATCTCGACAGTTTATCGCCTTGTTTCGGAATCATTTGACGAAGGTGTCAACTGATTCTCCGTCTTTTTGCTTCTTGTCCAGAAGAGCTCCAATTGACACTTTAGTGTCATCATCAAAAAAATTATTGAGGAATGAGCTTTTCATATCGTCCCAGCAGTTGATGCTTCCTGGTTTGAGACGTCGATACCAATCGAAGGCGTCCCCGCGAAGGGTGCCTACGAATGACCGGATCATCAGTGGTTCATTTCCGAAGATCACTCCTAGATAAGACTTGAAATAGATCAAGTGTTGAGTGGGAGAGCTTTTCTCGTCGAATGGCGTGAAGTTAATTAGGGTGAACTTCGTCGGGTACGGGATTGAATCCCACTTTCTTGGATACGAGCACGTAATATTCGTTTTCCTCACTTCTTGAGCAGAAATTAAGGTATTGATCTTATTCTCTAGCTCTTTCATCATCTCGTCATCGCCTGTATCTTTCTTCGGGCGATTTTGAGGACGAACGATGGGATCACCCTTAGCGTTGTCATTAGTGATGGGGCCACCTCCAGTGTTTGTATTATTGTTGGGGCCACCCCCAACATCTTTTTCATTGGGAGGACCATCGACGTTGATAGTCTCCTCTACCTCTAAGTTACTATCTACCTGATTGGTAGTGTGATGACGATTGGATTCACCGTGCTGATTTGACAACTCCTAAAGTTGTTGACCATGTAAATCCTTGACCCGTTGTACGGTTATCTCCATCTCTATTTTGAAAACCTCTTTCTGCTTAGCCAAGGCTTCTTGAAGGAGCTGAGCCATTTGCTCAGTAGTGATCATGAATGCTTCTCTAGTCCGTCCTGCACTAGACGTTGTATTATCAGAAGCGATTGCAGAGTTTGCATCTGATGCTTTATCATCTGAGGAATGCCCTCTCCGAATTCTCCGATAATCCCTTGGTCTGATAGTTCCGAACCGTAACCGAGTTATGCGTTGGGATACCTCCGAGAAAGGTTCGGGACTAAAGTGTCGTGTAGACTTTCCCTTATTGATCATGTTGATGGTGACTTCTGGAAGTTCGCTACCCTGACCGGCTGATCTTCTTTTACAGAAGCGCTTTGGTTTAGGTTTGGACGCTTCAGTAGAGATCCTCTTGAATACCGAGACCCTCCGTGGAACGGTCTTAAGGCGGTTACATTCTGATATTACTGTCCTGATTAATCTCTCACAAGGATAGTGAGAATCCGTTTCTGGGGTATTTCTCTTTCGAGACTCACCCCAATCCAATAGTATAACTTGTCAGTGTTGCAGCTAGAGTAACCTATCGGTTATTCATTTGTTCTTTCAGGTATAACGTTGTTGTTTGTCGTACGCGTCTTCTTCTGATTAGGTAACGTCTTGTTGGCGTTCACAGGAGTCACTCGTTTAGAATCACACATTTGTGGGGGTGAAACCCTAACGGGTTCCTGGTTCTCTGCACGCACCCCCAAGCAGGCGGTTACAAGAATAGTCTTGTTGGGAGGTCGTGTACGACCCCCATTCTGAAGAGTCGCTCGGGATTTGTTCACTAGACCCAAGCATTCTTTTATAAGAGTTTTGCCTCAATCTTCGTGTAGAGGTCTCAGACGATCCTTCAACGGAATTATAAATTTGGAGAGATCCACGCTGCCGTAGGGTTTCACCGGAGGTGCCGGAGCAGGAGGAATGAGATCTGAAATTGATGAAGGCTGGGGAGTAGCCTTGGAAGTGTAACTGAGTGAGAGACACGACTGGGGTCTCTTGTCAGGTATAGGCACCTTAATTCTCTTTGGTGCAGTTTTAGGCGTTGTCTTGGGCTTTGACACCCAAACCTGCTTAGATCTTGGTGGTTCTTTGACCATCTCTTCTTTTTACAATTCGTGTCTTTCGCACAAGGATCCGGGCATGCGTAAGAAGTGCGCAGCGCTTCTGGATGTGTTCCTCGAGAGTAGAACGGGTTCGTTTGACACGAACTCATTTGTTAGTCGACTGTTGGGAGGAGGATCCCGATGCTTGCTGCTGCAACGGTTTAGCCACTTGACGTCTTCTAAACTCTAGATCCGCTTGGTAACGGAGTCCATCCACCTGTTGCAAAACCTTAGCAAATTATTGGGCAAGACGTTGGCGGTGCCTTTGATGAGCTCTTTTCGTCAGCACCGATGCGTCTTCGACGGGCAACTCTGTGACCTTTGAAGAGTTGTCACGAACGTCAGATCCGGCTTTCCTGGAGGCCTGAGAGGATGCTTCAGCACCACTTGGGTGAAGATTATCACCCCGAGTTTTCAGATCTGAAGGCCAATTAATCTTCTTTACAGAAGTGGTCTTCCTGCGGTTGTAGGGAGAGGAAGATCTGGAGGAGGAGGAGACGTACTGCTCGAACTTCTGTTAGTCGAATTCATACTCGACCTCTTCATCCATCGGGATCTTGATCAGCGGTTGCGGCACGACAGCCTCGGCGACGAGGATGTTGTCTCCCACTATGGTCGCCAGTGTGTTAGGGTCGAAAACCGTTTTCTTCATTGCGGGACTCATTACAACTTCAGTCGTTACAATGATTCAAAAGGAAGGATTTTTTATAAGTCTCCTTACATAATGCAAATAAAAAGATTACAATTTTCTTGAGAACACACGTAAATAGATCGTTTATCGGTCTTCTGCTTGCGCGGGATCTTTGTCGGTGTCAGGGTTTATCCGTGGACCACAAACTGATCAGATCCGAATAAAGATTCTGTTGCCTCGCAAAGGAGATAGAATTGAAGTGACTATCTCGGCAACAACGAGACAATCACTCTTCTCGAGAATCGTAGCTAGATATGATCTCAAGGAAAACGGATGAACGGGATGAACGGGATGTAGATTTCTTGACCTCGCCTCCTCCTTGTGTTGAAGAACTCGCCAAGATCCCTTTCTCCTCTCTGAAATTCGTGCTCCTCACTCTTTAATTCGACAGGGTTTCGTCGAGGCTCGAGAATTCTGGATCCCTGCAAATAAAGGCCCTAGGGCTGTATTTATAAGCTTTAGAAGCTCGGTTTTTAGATAAGAATGATCGATTTGATCTTATCCTCAGTTGTAACTACTGAACTACATTCCATGATAACTTCAGATCAGTAGGAGAGGCTTTGGATCGGATTAAATAGAAATCTAGGCGAAATCAGCATTTTTAGCCCCGAGACAGGCTTTGTGTCTCGGCACTTTGTGTCTCGGCCTTGGCCGAGACACAATACGTGTCTCGGTTGCGTGTTGTGATCTTCTTTTTCCCGTAATTTCCCAGTCCGACCTCGGAATGATGCGATTCAAAGTGCGTTGGAAAGCCGGAGAAGAGACCTACAATGTCCCATGAGTGAATCATACGTGGAGTGGATGAGACACGAGTGACGCTTCGTCTTTCGTGAGTGAAACGTAACTACCGATCATATCGTCTCTTCGTTATTTTGCTGCCCCGTTGATTTGTACGCTTTGTTGACTTGCTCTATGCGCTTGCCGACGTCAAATAATCCTCTTTGACTCAGATAATGACGTTCATCTTCTCTCTGTCTCGAGCTACGTGCGGAAACTTATAGGCAATTTTTAACGCCTATAGGGTCGGGGTAGGCCGGACCGATGGTGGGCCGGGCCTATTTCTCTAGTCCGGGGTCTCAAGCTGGATCCAGCTCATCCCGTGACCCGGGTATATCAAAGGTCAGGTCGGGCCCAACCCACTAAGGGTCGGGCCAGGTCGGGCTATGCTGTGTCATCACAACTTTAAAGTTTTGGTGTATTGGTGAGAGAGATTTTAAGTTGGCATGAGAACAACCAAGGTTCAAATCCTAATGACCACAAATTTATATGGATTTTAAAAAATTGATATGCTGCGTCAGTCCAGGTTTCTATTCATACTAAGGGTGCTCAAGTTTCGGACCATTATAAGGACGCTCAACATGCGGATATAAAACTGTAATTTTTAATCATCATCACAACTTTAGAGTTTTGGTGTAATGGTTAGAGAGGCTAAGAGATTCGGTGCATGTGTTTCATGAAGTATGAAATATGTTCATGTGATTTAAGGTTTGGGTCGTTCGGACTGTCGATTGTCCATTTGGTCTTCTTTGTTTTGAATTATGTATTCTTTTCTTCTGAAGAAGCTGCATTACTCCTTAGGTAGATGATTTCAAACTCTTAATTATTTAATACTATTTGAATAGGAACAGTCTGTTCTTGTTTTAAATAGTTCACTGATATTTTTTGTATATATACCCTGGAGATATATCATAAGGGATGTACCTTTTTTATTTGCATTTCCTATAATCAAAACCACATTACCTGTATTGAATATAATCTTTATCTCTTGATATTTTTGCTCTTTAACAGATACATGCTGCATACTTGGACAGACTGCGCTTTGTATGTCGCAGTCTCAAACGCATCCAGAGCAGCCTATCAGCATAATTTCAGGTGATCTCAACCGACGAGTGATTCATATAGCAAATGCTATTTAAACAATCCTATGAGATTTATAACATGGGGGTTGCCTTGTTGTTCTCTTGTTGTACATATTCTATCTTCCCTCTTCTCTTCTGAGCTCGGTCATAAAGCTGAATTAGTGTTGTAATGTTATAGCTTTGAAAAAAGTATTGCAGTGTTATTTGCTATTATTTCTGTAGCTGATCCCGCAGTCTTTGTTGTTGGCATTGAAAATTAGTTACTGACAATCTTTTGACATCCATCTCTGTAAGAAGTTATTTGTATTATCATCTGTCATTTTGAGGATTTGATATTGTTGGCTTTGAATGATGCTGGTTAGACTTGTAAGGATTTTGTGGTTGCTGAAAATATTGAGGAATGGATCTGATCCATAGACTAGTTTCCTGTTCTGGTAAATATTAATGATATCCAAATATTACTCTTACTTTAAAAATTGATGAGTCATGTTGTAAGATTTTGATAGTTCTAGCTGGAATTAAGTCTTTACAGTAATTAAATTAAAAAAGAAAAAAGAAAAAAAAAGAAGGGAGGAAAGCAGACAGCTTTTGCAAATGTGGAGGATTTAGAATTGTTGGGCTTTTTATTGGATGTGTAAACTGAATACTAGACAATATCTGGCAGCATTCCTTTCAATTTTCATTGGCTAGAGGAACCACCAACCTTATTCAAGCGTTATTGACACTCCATTTGATACAAAATCACATAAAAACTGAAAATTATGAGGATTAGATAAATGATTGATAGATCAATGGAAAGAGTAGGCATATTTTAAAGAAGAGAAAGAAAATGAAAGGAAAGGGTTGCATCTCTCACTTTCCATGGGTATTCCTAGTTTCTTTGCAAATAAAATTCAAAAATAGAGAGAAAAAAATAAAAGAAAATAAATAATTCAATAAAAGGAAAGATTACTATCTTTCACTTTCGTTCCTAGTTACTTTTGACATAAGTAAGACCTTCTTTAGAAAATATATGCCATCTATTTTTATTTTATTTTATTCATATTGAAAAAAAAATCATTGTGTAATATATTCTTTATGTATTAGATGTATCCAATTCATTCTTAACGCAGGTGGAATGCATGTGCACTGCACGTCGTCAAATATCTAAATTGTTTATTTTAACTTTATTTATTTACTATAACATATTTGCAAAAAAAAAAGGTTATGATTATCATAATATATTAATTAATTTTTTTTTGATATTTCTAGGTATAATATCTTGTTGGTTTCAACATTTTGCCTTCCACAATAAAAAGTCTTAAAATATTAATGACGTAAGGGACCAATATTAAAAAAATATTATTATTAATGATAAAAATAAATTCTTGAATTCATCAAAGTAAAATGATATGTTTTCTCTGGTCAAATTGGATTTTGTTTAACTATAAAGAAATTACTTTCACATGTTGTTTATCTGGCGACCAAGTATTATAGATATTTAAAAACTTTTTTTTAGAATTTTCTTTGTTAGAATGTGCAAATTCAATCAATAAAGAAAACATAAATTATATGATCAATTCTAAAATCTGATATTGTAGCTTTTCTACATTTTCCCAACTAATTAATTTATTTGTCAAAACGATTACTCTATAGTTTTAGAAAATTATAACATATAATATGAGAATGATTTATTCATATTATGCACTATGAATTGTATTTTAACAAATAATTCAGATCTATCCAATGTCAAACAACATCCAAAAATTTAGGTTGGGAGTTATAAGAATCCATTATCCGCAACAATACCCATACCCCCATACCTAAGCTATGTGCACTATGAATTGTATTTTAACAAATAATTCAGAACTATCCAATGTCAAACAACATCCAAAAATTTAGGTTGGGAGTTATAAGAATCCATTATCCGCAACAATACCCATACCTAAGCTATGTGCTTCATAAACTTATAAGAAGATGAGAACTATAAAAATGAACAATTTAATTTATTTTGTCAAATAGTTTATTACAAATCATGAAAGACTGTTGGCCTTCTTGTTTTGATGATGATTTAACAAACAATTTACATCTAATATTGTTTGTTTTGTGTTTGTAGTTTTGTAGTTATTATAGACAAACAATAAGTTGGAGGATTGATGGAATTGCGTTTCAACGATGATATCTAATGGAGGTTGGTGGAATAGTGGCTGAAGCCTATACAATTCAAGTTAAAGATCCAATTACAAGCTTCATCCAAGATTACCAAGTTGAGCTACAATGAAGATCAAGATCAAGCTTGGGTAACATTAGTTTAGATTTTATATTATGTGTGTTAGTATTTTAAGCTTAATATTATACACACACACATTATATTGGTTTCCATAAATATATAGTTTTATATATACATATATGTTTGGTTTCCATGTATATATATAGTTATACATACATAGTTTTTATATATACATATATGTTTGGTTTCCATGTATATATATAGTTATACATACATAGTTTTGAGTTTTCATGTTTATAAATATGAGATTACACCATGTATATATATAGTTATACATACATAGTTTTGAGTTTTCATGTTTATAAATATGAGATTACATATTTTATATTTATTATTGTGTTTTGGTTTAGCTATATAGATATGAAACAAATTTACATTCATATGTTTCATACTCTATTGTGTTTAAGAATATATTACATAGAATATGCAATTTTGTGAAAATATTGTTTTCATGGTTTATGGACTTAACAATCATCATACACATCTTTCGTTAAGTCCACAAAATCATTTTGTAAAGTTTCAAAACATGGTTTAGCCAAAATGTCAAAATTCATATGTTTACATTTTTATGTTTTGGACTATTTTACAAAATAATAATATTTTATATTTGGGAGGTCCTTTTTGAAAACCAGTTTTTGTATCATATGTATTATCATGTTTACAATCATTTCCCAAAGTTTTACATTTTTCTGAATTTATTTGATATTTTTTAAACCCAGTTTAAAGTTGAGTTTTTTTTGTGCACTTCAGGTCTGTGCATGTTTAGTCGACTCATTAGTCGACTCATGAGTCGACTCATAAGTAGACTTACGAAGTGCAGCGGAGTTGTGATTTTTCTTCTGCTGAGTCGACTCATATAAGCCGACTCATTAGTCGACTCATAAGTCGACTCATGAGTCGACTCATAAGTCGACTTATGAAAGAGTCGTTGCACAGTAAAGGCTACTTTCCAGTAGTATTTTCTGGGGTTTTTTTTTGTCTTTTCAGTTGGGTTTTGGTTGAGGTTTTGAGTGGCTATATATACCCCGTTGCTCTCATCCTTCACACGACTAATGAAATGTTTTAAACAAGTTTAAAAGAGTTTTAAACAAGGGTTTAAGTTTGTTTAATGTTTGTTTAGAAGCTTTTAAGCAATTGAGGGTTTGAGTTTGTGAATTCAATTCCACAAGAGCTTGAGGAGATCATCTATTGGAGTTTGAGCAATCAACTATTCTCCCATCCATCTCTTGTCATCTATTGAGAAGTTTTCTAAACTCTTTTCTAGCTTTATATTTATTTGTTTGATTATCATCTTATTAAAGCTAGTTTTATATTGAGTTTAGATTTGATTAATCTCATTGTTACACACACCCACTTGAGCTTATTGTATTTGCATTCATAATATATTTGGGGTTGTGAGAGATAGTAACATTGAGTTGAGCCTAATTGAGTTCTCACCTTGTTTAGAGAATAATCATTTGTTGTGCTTAATTTGTGAAGTTCACTTTGTAATACACTTGTACACCGAGAGGAGTGTGTGGTGAGTACGGAGTCGATACCGAGAGGAGTGGCGCCGGTGGCCTAGTGAGAGGTGATAATTCCGAGCACTTGAGGGAGTCGATACGTGAGGACCAACACTTGAGGTTGTAGCTTGTGTATGTACTTTGTGAGGATTTGTGAGAGTTGTCGGTTGACATGATAACCGAGTGCGTAGAGTTTTCGGTTAGCTAGAAAACCGAGTGTGTAGAGAAGTTTCGGCTTCCAAACTGGGTTGTGTAGTGGATTCTCCTCGAGAGTAGGGAGCGGGGACGTAGGACGAAATGTCCGAACCTCATGAACATATAGCGTGTTTGGTTTGCATTAGCGCACTTATAACTGTTCATCTTATAGCCTATTGCATCTTATTTGTTTCACCCTTGTGATAGTTTATATATCCTTGCATACATCATATAGTATATCTCATTGCTAGGATATATCACATTTGTTCATATTGCATATTCTTTCTCATAAGTAATTGTATATCATCTTGCAAGAACATATTTTTTCGGATTAGATTAGCATAAACCCTATTCAACCCCCCCTCTAGGGTTCTTTCCTAGCGGCCTTAGGGTCTAACAAAGACAAGGTGAATCAGAAAGATCACATACTCTTCACAAATAAGATTAAATTTCTCTTAGAGATTCTTGTAGTAAAAGATTTTCAGAGTTGATATATAGGATAAATCTTAGGACACATAACCCAAATTAGTTCATAGAGTGATATACTTGCTATAAAATCCACTTTTATAAGATTAATGTCACATTTGCCTTAATTTGTATTTTAAGGGTTAATTTTAGAAAACTCTCTCTTAGCTATGATGGATAATGTCAAAAAAAAACCCTCAAAATATTTTTTTGGGATATGAGGAAAACCTAGTAAAGCAGAAGGATCCCCAAGCCAAGGCCTGAGTTCAAGCCCTCCACCATTACAAGTAAACCATAGTGAACTAGGCCCCCTACACCATCCAGTCACCAAGTTAGTAGGACACTTAAGGGACATATGTGACAAACCTTGAACCTAGGCCTTTGGTCACGAAAAATTGCTAACTTAAAACTGAATAAATCTTCATCAAATTTGTGGTGTTGTAGATAATCTTTCTCAGCTGATAATCTTTCTTAACTTCAATTTTTTGATTTATTCCTATAAACTTTTCTCACTTAACCACTCAAAACTAATATCATTGAGTCTAATCTATTATATGAAAAATATTTGATTTGGAAAGACCAAAATATCCCTCAACCATAAAAGAATTAGTTTGGTTTTTGCTAGATTAAAGAAAGAGAGGAGATACAGAAGGAAAAAGAATTATAAATTAGTAGTGATCCTTTTATTATCAGTTGAGAGCTTTTTTTAACTAAAATAGCTTTCTTCGAGAGAGTATTTTCTCCAAATCACATATTCAAGTAACTACATTAAGGGGTTTTGTTGAGAGAAGTGTAAAAGATCAGGGGAGTTTTTATGAGACACGCTATAGTTGAGGGGTGTTGTCTAAAATTGCACCAAAGTTAAGAGGGGTTATCTACAACGCACTCATAGCTAGGATATTTTGCCAAATTAAATCAATT